TATTATCTCAACTTCAGTAATATCCAAGAGCCCAATTTAAACTCTAAGTCCCTTCTTTGTTTAGTTCCGTTTTATTTATCAGTTGTTGCGCATGAATCAAGTGCTCCTTAACTTGAGCTAATATCTCATCTCATTCCAACAGCATAGCTCGAAGACATTGTTAAAGCATATTCATAGCTCACGATGTTTGGCGGATCTTTACTATAAACAACACAAAAAGAGTTCAAAGAAGTCAGGTAAGAGATATTATATCATAATTCTGCCCATGCCAAAATCGTGTACCATGTCTAAGGATAACTTAAAGCAAAACATCACAAACAAGTTTCACGACAGTAGTTTAGTATCTCAAACTGACCATCTGTTTGTAGATGAAAAGTTATACTAAAACACAGTTTGATCTTAACCAAACAAAAGAACTCCTTATAGAAAGAGCTAAGGAATATCTTGTCCTTGTTAGACACAATCAACTTCAAAAAACCATTAAAATGAACCACATCCACAATGAACTTTCGAGTCACATCTATAGCCTAAAATGGATGTTTAAATCCCACAAATGTGCAAACTTACTCAGCTGGTCCACAGTGACAAAGATACATTATACTTGGAAGAAGTATGTAATCCATTGACAAAATCCATGGATATATCAGCCTAAATCTCATTCGGCAGATGTAATAGTTGTTACATTCCTGACAGGAGAGAGATTCGAATACTTATATGTGTGGCACACCTGAAATTTAGTGACATATTGCTGAACACATCTAAACAAACACTCCCACTGAAATATCTATTAAACCCTTTTAAATGTCTTCAGAACCCCTGAGTGTCCACCAACTAACCCATCATGACATTCAAACAATATCAGAGAAATGAAATGAGAAGTTTTCGAAATCACCAACCTGTGTTTGTAGTTTATACCAAAGCCTTCCTTCAATCACAGAATAACCAGTCTTATCCAACAACCCTTCATGAAAGAGTTTCACCATACCCAGAATCTGTACACCCTCCTCAATCTCCTTGTACAAATCTTGAAACTGAACTGAATAGTCAAAGACAATGAAGAAAAACCCACACATAAGTGTAACAATTCATCCCTTCTCGAACTGGTGATCCGGCCTGACTTCAGGAGCAGGGGTTTTAGAGCAAGTCGGCCCAAGAGAAGTGGCTTTAACTAGTGATCCGGCCCAACTTTGGGAGCAGGGGTCTCCTCCCCGCTCCACTTCGTCTTCCAGCTCATTTCACACGGAGTTTCCTGAACGGCTCCGCCTCCCCGAGCCTTGGTTGGTTTTTTATTATGCTGGTGGTGGATCATCTTGCACCACCACTGGCTACTGTCTTTATTGGACTGCATATCGGTCCACCCCCATCCTTGTAAACCTAATTGTTGGGGAGAAAATTACGGATTGCTTTCAGGGTGTGTATGATCATCCGAGTAGTGCAGCTAAGTAGTCTCCAAGTTTCTCCTCTTGGGGGGGGAGGGATGAGCCGTATGTGGTCCCGGGGTGAAAGTCTGATTGTGCCCTGCATGCACTGGAAACAAGTAAGTCAGACCTCCGGGATAAACGAAAGAGGGTTTTCCTCCTGAAGGTTCTCTGACGCTTAAATTAGATCGTTCCCACTGGGAACAAGTACTCGGGAGGGTGGATTTAGTGGTGATGGTATGGTTTGGGTATACCGTCCGAGGATCATGATACCCATCTGCTGTTTGGTGAGGGCGGTTGTAATGAGTCATAAAGAGAGTGAGGTTGGAGCTCTCTCTCGATGGGGATAAGACGGGGGGTTAAGGGGAGAAGAGAAAGCTTATCTCGGTTGGCAGTTCTTCCGGGAAACATTGAGCGTGTCCCCTTCAGTCCTGCTGCTAAGTCTGGCCGGTCGATTAGGTTCAGGTGTGGGCACGATGCTCTGGCGGCTCCTCCTCCCATTCCTAGGTTTCTTATAGTATTTTGGTTGTTTAACCATTTGGCCACCTCTCTCCCCTGTCTCGGCTTCTCTCCCTCCCTCTATACTCCTTTAGCTTTGGCTTATCCCATAGATGCGGCGCATGGCGGGATTAGGTGAGCTATCGCTGCATGCCTTCGACTTGGAAAGCTTGTTACCTGCCCGGCAATAGTTAGCTAGGGAGCCGTTGGGCAGGCCTAGACAAAAAATTCATCATTACTGTCGGGCCCACTGCTGACATGTTACCATATGATTGGGTGCGGTGAAAGTGGGCCTACCAATTGCCAATGACTGCTCGACTGATTAGAAATGTAGGGAGTCCATCCTTACGCCATTCCTGTAAAATATTTCAAGGTTTGTTCGGGACCAATTTACGGGATACTTACGTGGAGTGATCTGATAGGCTGTCGGGCCTGCTAGGGAGATTCAAACTCTGGGGTACGAGCCAACCTGTAATGAATGAAAGGAAGTTGATGTGGTGGAGTGGAAAGAGGTTGTCTTTCCAATTACTATCTAACTCTCAAGTCAGAATAAGGCACAATACTGGTCAAGAGGGTATGCGATGATTGAGAGAGCGGTTTGGAATGGGGTGCTTTATCAACTCCCAGCGATCTTGATAAAGCTTTTGGGGAATGTGTATTTAGAACGAAGCTATACGATGGGTGTATCTCTCTAGTATTTCTCCTCCTCTCATCCTTGACGTGAGGAGAGTATTTATAGAAGATACCTAGTAACGGATCGGTTCTCAGGCTGGGGCTCTAGGTTCTACGGGTCAGGTCCTTGCTGTTATCTGCTAAATCGTCCTTTCGCACTGTTCTTGAACTGACCGGACTTCCTCATGCATACTGCTAAATATGAAGTTGTTGACCTGCTTCGTCTCTCCCTAGTTGCCATCATTGCGGGCTCGCTTGGTAAATGTAAAGCATTTAATGGTCTTCAGGTTCCCGTGGTGTCTGCTTTCCACGGGTTGGGCTTAATGGTCTATAGTGCAGTTTGTGGCCCAACAATGTCTATTAACATAACTAATTTTAGTTTTTTATTAAAACTCTCATGCCAACACAAATGTACAAGTCAACTACTAAAGAGTTTTTGGTAGATGGATTTATATAGAGTTGTTTAATTCTAAAAGTTAAAAAAATTGTTAAATTTTAAAAGTGTTTAGTTAGATTTGGAGAGAAATTGTATATTTAAAAAAATTATAAAAAATATTTAACTGTAATTGATTTTAAAAATATTACAGATATAACAATTACTTTGAAAGTTTTGTTTTATGTGTTAATTTTTTACAAATCCATGGGCAAATAATACAGATTTTAGGGAATCATTGAATCCTTAAAACCTAATATTTTTAAATAACAATAGATTTTGTATAGATTTATAAATATCATCAAACCAATAATATTAGATTTTATAAGAATTCAGAATCTATCAACCAATGACAATAAATTTTGAAAGTTCTAACAATCTTCTAAAATTCATCTCTCAATATTTTTTTCAGTTGAGAACTCCAAGAGAGAAAGCTCCTCTTCTCTCTAAAAAAAAAAGATTTTCTTCCATTTTGCTCATCCATGGCATCAGTTCAGTTTTTGCTTTGTTGTATTTTGTTCTGTTTTGCTGATTTTTTTTGGGCTTTTGTTCAAAGAGATGTGTACATCTTTGATGATTTTTTTAGCCAAATAAATCAAGATCTGAGCGGATCTATCATGTCGAGGAGAAGGAGGCGCCGAGTTATTTTATTTTTGATATTGGATTGCTTCTTCTAGCAGATATAGTCATAGATCTGTCCCCTTCTGTGGCTTTTTTCCTTTTTCTTCTTCACGGTCTCCTAGTAAAGATCCTTGTAGTTTTTTTCCCCTTAAGAGATGGTTTGCCTCCATTTTCGCAAGTAACTCTTTTCTTTAGTGGATATGCTATATGCGTTTTCTATCCTATGTTTATGCCATTCTTGTTCCAGATACGGTTTTTATTGGGTGGTTAGGCTTCGCTTATCGCCAAAGCTGTTGAGATTTGAATGTTTTCTTTGAGTCTTCTGTCAAGGCAAAAACTTGGAACATGTTTGCGTTGCAACTGCATTCGAGAGTATTGTGAATCTATTAGTGGTTATGATTACTAGTAACAAGAAAATAATGTTATCGATCAATAGACTGTAAGCGACAATAGTAAAACGTATTTAGTAAGTTCCATAAAATTGTGAAAATTTGTAGATTTTAGTGCTAAGACCACCTTCAATGAGAAGTTTTTAAAAGAATTTTTAATATTAAATAAAAAAAAAAAAAAAATCAAACAGTAAAAAAAACAAGAGAGAAGTTTCTAAAGTACACTAAATCAGAACCTATTCTAAGTTTTTAAGATATTCACTTATATAATTATTTTGTTTTCATTAGTTCAGTTTTTTAAATATTAAAATTTAATTATATATGTTAGATTATAATAAAATAATAGTTAAGATACTTATTTTTAGAACTTTACCATTGTGAATGTCCTAATATTATTTTTGGGTTTTAAAGTTAGTTAAGTTCTATTTTAATTTGGTTTTGGTGTGATGTTCTTTATTAGCTTTCTAATGATTCTACCTTATTGGTTTTGGTGTTGTTTTTCTTTATAGCTTTTAATCGAATCTCTGTCTCCCGTTGGTTGGGATTTTATCTTTGAAAGAGCTTTGTTCTATGCCGGCTTTGTATTTCGCATAAATAAAATCTGCTAGATACCAAAAAAAAGCCCCTAGGTCATATATGTAAATGAAAGCGAATATCTATTAAATAACTTTAAAAAGAATTTGTCTAAGTTACGTTTTTCTTCAATCAAACATAAAACTAAACAATTGTGGTTTTTGGAATATCCCAATAAACAAAGTAATAGCAATAGAACAATCAAAATTCAAAACCCTCAACTAACTGAGTTTAATATTAAAAGTTATTTTTAATGAAACAAAAAACTTTGTAGAGTTACACCTCAAAGTGAGTGTCCCTAAAGGTCTCAGCTATTTGAGTAAACCGACCAAACAATGCAAGAAAATAGTCATATTGCATCTTCCTCAGGTCTCACACACTTGTGTCTTCTCCTCAGACAGAGAACCGACTTCTTCTAGAATCATCCTGCATATATATAGACGACCATATAATAAGCAACATGAGAAGAAGAACATGAACAAAAAGATGAATTAGCTTAGCTTGTATGGAGAAAGTTAATTACATGGTTATTGAAAGATATCTTGTCGGTGACTTCGAGTATCTCCTTCCACTTCTTCCCAATACCCATCTGAATTTACAATAACAAACAACAAGGTAGTAATTTCATCAGATAGGTTCATAAACTAATCTTAACATACTACACCAATAACAATCAACTAGTAAATTCATTAGATAGGTTCATAAACCAATCTTAACATACTACACCAATAACAACCAAGTAGTAATTTCATCAGATAGGTTCTTAAACCAATCTTTAACATACTGCCAATTGCCAAATTTTAAACATATGTCCATAGGCAAATATAGCTAAATTCGTTTAAATATATCGTTAGGCAAACATATATCACACTAGTATTAAATTTTACTCTTGAATGCTCATCCAAAGCATTAGTATCTCAATCATCAGAATCTGGTAAAATTCGCAAGAAAAGGCACTATAGTAAGCAATCAACACATTTAACTAAGCTAGACTATTGCATGAGTATACCTCTTTTAACAACACCAGTAAGTATAAAAAAAAGAAATAAGATAACCGAACAAAACTCATGAAGAAGCACACGAACATCAATGTACACAGTGAGAAGGAAAGCATCATACCAGAACAGCTTCGTTTGATTTCGTCCTTGTCCACAAGGAGAGCTTGTCTTGCTTTAGCCGAACACTAGCAACCACACCACAAATCTCATCCGCCTCATCAAATTGCTCTCCAATTAAAGCCATCAACTGCCAATTACACGAGATAAAACCAGTCATTACCGGATGCAAGTTGAAGCTTACAATATTGTCTAAAACACATAAGAGTAAGAATCTAGAAGATTTTACAGTTTCAAGCCAAGCCTTGTCTAAAGCTTGCTTCCTGTTACTGGTAATAACATATGTCCACTTTCCACCATTAGCACACTCTGGATCTTCCCACTTTGGCTCAACACCAGCTTTGAACAAGTGAATATCAGCACTCGGTGTCAATTTGCTAGGAATGAATATAGTCTCGTGCAAACTGCAAAAATCGATACCAAACGAAAATTAACAATTTTCATTACTCAGATTTCAATAAAAAGCATAAGTTTTATAGATTTACTCAGATTGAGGTAAAAACAAAATCGAGATTTTTAAGAAATCGGATAAGACATTCACACAAAAGAAGATCTAAAACAAACTTTACGGAAAATCACAGATCGAGGGGGAAGATAAATCGCTAACAATCACAAACGATACGAAACTCTAGACGCAAGAGGAAATCAAGGACAAGACAACAAACCCCCAGAAATCTTCGACGGTGTCGAAGGTATAGGCTTTTCGAAGGGAAGCTCCCCATTCGGCGCCTTGCTTGGGCTTGGATTGGTTGGATTGGTTGGATTGTTTATCGAACCAGAAACTCCACTTTCTTTCGAGCTTGTGAGGCTGCTTCTCCGTTGGCTCTATCGCCGGTACTTCCGCCGCCGCAAGGGCTTCGTTCACATCCTCGGTCGCCATATTATTCGCAGCTGTGTTCTCTCTCTCTCCCTCTCTCTCTCTCTCTGTAAGTCGGCGTAGGAGAGAATGTTAAAAAGATTATTTGGGAACGTTACTTTGAAGGGGCTCATTAAGGACCTGATTTGGGTCAATTCCGGGCCGGTCCGCAAGAGACCATTACTGTTTCCTTTTTCCAATGATCCGTTTTTTCCCCAACTTTTCCATTATTGGATAAAAACTAGATTTTTATCCGTGCAGACTTATTTATAATTAGGTATATAATTCGCATGAATAGTTTATATTAATAATTTGATTTATTTTTTTAAGCTAATATTTTTAAAATTATTAAAAATATAATATATTTATAAAAAAATTTATTTATATAAGAAAATTTAATATATATAATATGTAATTTTCTCTTATTTTCTTTATAAATTTTAAAAACTATTCAGTAAAATAATAACAATGATACCTATTGAATTATCCAACTTTGACGTACATATACATCTGATTTAGAGAAAGATTTTCTTGCTAAGATTTTGGTATTATTTTCTGTTTTCCATAGAATTTATATAGTTCTTTTTTTCTTGAAGGTTTATGTGTTCAAATATATAATTTTTTTTTATTGAAAGTCTTATTGATGTTGTGTACCACTGCCTATATAATTCATAATTCATATTAATTCGCATTTAATTTTGTTAGAAAATTGCAATGATCATGCAAAACTATTTTTTCCTTCTTCACCATGTCTTTCAAGAGTTTTATGTTATATTTTTATTTAGTTTTGATTAATATCTATTTTTTTACAGTCTAATATTTGATAATTTTAGTTTTCTAACTTGTAAGAGTGTTGGTGTGGAGTCTTTGCATTATTTTTTTACTGTTTCTATCTTTTGTGTGCAATATGCATGCTTTGATTTGAATATTTCATATACATATATCAATTTGAGTTTGATTCATAACTATGTCATACTTTATTATTTAAATAAAATTTTAGAATGTATTATTGATGTTGATTGAGATATAAGTAGTGGCTCTGTATAGAAATCATATTTCACTACTTGTTAAATATCGAGTGTAAAGTTATTATAGTGTTTTTTAATCAGAAACATCAAGTGTATTAATCATTGTAGATTTAAAAAAAAATGGTTTAGAAACTCATGTAAACCTATTGCAACTTTAGATAGTTATTCATTGTTGATACTAATATTTTAGAAATCAGGAACTTTTTGAAACTAATTTCAAATTAATTTCAAATTAATTTTGTTTTAATTTTTTGTGATCATTTATATCTTATGATAGTAATTTTTTATTTATTTTAATTTAAATACTTTTTGTATGTTTGATATATTTAGGACTTGTTGATTTTCCAAATAGGTATCATAAACATCACATTAATTTCTTTTATACAATTACTTTTTTGTTAATTTTTTATATTAATTTTGAATTCTAGTTATAATGCTGATTTGATATGCTCTAATTGTTGAATTTAAATCTTAGTCGGACTTTTCTAAAAAGCTTATAGCATCATTTGTTTATTTTTGTTAAGTTTTTTTTTATATTGATTTTCAAAATTTTTAGCCCAAGTTAGTTTTCTTTTATACGGCTTTTTCTTTTGTTAATTTGCCTCTTTGATATTGATTCCTATTTTATTTTGAAACATAAATTTATAACATGTTGAAGGGTAAAATTTTTTTTAATAAAAATATGTTTAATTTCGCATCATATCATCATAGCTTAAAAACAGTTTGGTTTCATATCTAAAAACACAACAGAAAATTAAAGTATAGTGAGGTATATGCATGTGAGTGTACTTATCATGTCAAATAGTCAGTATAGTCAGTAGTTGCTTTAATATTTTTATCGGAAAAAACCGGGTGGAAGAAGTGGAGTTCAAAAATAATACTTCTACATGATGCAATCTAAAGTATGGTGTTAAGAGTTAAATAATCTTATTATCTAATTTATTTCAGGATTCATCATATTTTCATAAACAATAGTAAAACAATGGTAATTATATGTTTAAAATTACGAGCCTTGAAATGTTTTTGGGTTCATAATTATGGCTAGGAGCACGACAGGTTTAACAACACTTTTCATTACTTTTCTTTGAAAATTGGCAGAAGAGTAACACAAATAATTGGCCCACTGTTTAGAAAATGTGAAAGGGTGGTAAGTAAACATAGATTGTATTACAGATTAATATATATAGATGACTTGTTGGGAAAATATGCTTATCTTTTTAATTGCAAGTGAACATTTATTTTATTATAACTTCCACCATTGGCAATATCATTAGCTTAACTGGACAAAGAAAGTACTCGTCGTTGATGATGATCATTATTCTAATAACATCTAGACAGTATATAATATTATTATATATTTTTATATGTGGAGTGCATTATAAGTTATAAATTTTTTCTAATCTATGCTATAAGCTTTAACTTTTACGATATTGATTTTTTGGTTAGTATGACTTTTTTACATTAAATTTCCATTTAATTTAAAGAGATATTATATTTTGGGGTTTTTAATATAATTTTCTTTCTATTTGTTACTTAAGCTTTTTTTTTTTCCATCTATAAAACGAAATTAATGTTTTTTATTTTCTTGTCAATTAATTTAGAAGTTAGAATTTTCCTAATCTACATTATAAGTTTGAGCTTTTATAATATTGGTTTTTTTGTTTGTTTATCTCTTTTGAAAACAAATTTCCATTTTATTTTGAAGGATACAATTTTTTTGGTTTTTTAACATAATTTTCTTTTCTATTTGTTAGTTAAGCCTTTTTTATTTTAATTTTCCATCTATAAAATAAAATTAATGTGTTAAATTTTGACGGATGCTATATTTTGGTTTTTTTAGCATAATTTTCTTTTCTATTTGTTACTTAAGATTTTTTTATTTTGATTTTTTCATCTATAAAATGAAATCAATGTTTTATATTTTCTGGTAAATTAATTTAGAAGTTAGAATTTTCCTAATCTATATTATAAGTTTGAAGGTTTATGATATTGGTTTTTTTTTGTTATTTTAACTTTTTTGAAAACAAATTTTCTATTTTATTTTTAAAGAGACTATTTTTGGGTTTTTAACATAAATTTCTTTTCTATCAGTTACTTAAACTTTTTTATTTAGTTTTTCCATGATTAAAACAAAATTAGGATTTTAATCATACTTAACATTTTTTGTTTAATGAAAATTGCTGATGTGGACCAATCATATCGAGTTTTTTAATCTCATGTGGACGTCCTCAATGCACTATGCCATCAACTTTTATATATAATAGACTCGGTATATAACTCGCGCTACACGTGAGTTTGTATTAATATTTTGGTTTAATTATTTTTAGCTACTATCTTTAAAATTATTTAAAATATAATATATTTATAAAAAATTTTATTTATAAGAGAATTTAATATATAATGTGTAATTTATCGTATTTTTATTTATAAATTTTAAAAAACTATTAGGTAAAATAATAACAATGACACCTATCGAATTATCTAACTTTGACGTACATATACATTTGATTTAGAGAAATATAATCTTTCTAAGATTTTGGTATTATTTTCTGTTTTCCATAGAATTTCTATAGTTCTTTTTTTCTTGAACGTTTATGTGTTCAAATATTTAGTTTTTTATTGAGAGTCTTATTGATGTTATTGATAGGGCTCAGGTTTTACCCAAATAAAACTACTGCAAGTGCACAGCAAAAGCAGTTGTAGTACAAGGGGTTATCGAATCCCAAGGGAGTATGTAAACTATACTATCGATTGTAGGTTCAGATTAAGCTAAGCAATAAGTAATGAATGTAATGTGAAACAGTAAAATAATTGCAAGTGGGCGTTTTATGCTTGTTCTTAAAGTTCAGAAAGCTAAAAGTGCTAAGTCGGGACAATTCGCAGGTTGAATCCGAGAGTGTAGAATGCATGCAAACAGGAATGAATTAAAACCGTCTTGAACATGAATCGCAAAGATATAACTAATCAATTCTCATTGCAGAAGTTAACTATGCCTAAATCACAGAGTTTCAAATCTCTTTGCAAACCCTAACAATCTAAACATGCAGTAATGATCATGTTCAATTGTTCACAAAACTCCTAAGCCAAACCTCTTTGCACTAAGTTATTTTGCTCATCTAATACTAGTTTAGGTGATTAATAATCTCTCACATCTATCAAACAACTTAGGGTTTCGAAATCCAGATGATGTGTCTAAGAAATTAATATGAATGCAAGCACAGATGAAGAACCAATGAATTTTCCTATTAGTTTAGCAATTCTACAAACTCTTCTTCAACCTTTGAAAAACCCTAACTTAACTAATAAACTACTCATACATGGTGATTTGAGAAAACACCATGATTAGAATAGATTGTGATATGCTCAAATTAACTCTTAGAGCTACTCTCTCAAATTAAGAGATCACTGTAGTACCTAGGGATCGAATCCACAAGGACTTAAGGCTACCACTCAACAGATTTTAGATTCAAATAAAGATAAACAATCAATAATGAAATGAAATTAAAATAGTAACGAAAGCAATGATGTCAGGGGCGGATTGTAGGTTCTTAAAATCAATAAAGACAAGATGCTAGGCAATGAAAAATTCGCAGGTTGACATAAATCGCAGACTACAGACTGAAAGGAATATTTATTAAAACCGTTCTAAAACTCGAAACACTAGTGTAAAACCAATCGACTTCCATCGGAGAGATTAACTATGATTAGATTCTAGAATTCTAAATTTCTTTGCAAATTCTAACAACCTAAACATGCATTATAGATCAGGTTTGATATGTTCACAAAAACACTAATCCAAATTCCTTTGCAATTAGTTATTTTGCTCATCTAAGATAGTTCCGGTGATTAACAATGTTTCCACATCTATTAAACAACCTAAGATCTGATTCTAGGTGATCAATCTTAAAACCAGTGTTAAAGCAATCTAGATGAAGAACCAAATGATTTATC